TGCAATTTCAACTTTTTGAAAAACTCACTCATGCAAATTAATTCCAAATTGAACTCGAAACTGTATGATTACCTATACTAATTATTGTAAGTAGTAGTATTATTATTATTACTATGTTACTAGCCAAAAATTTTACTTTCTTTCTTTTTACTTTGCAATGTACATAAAATTTTATTCTGCCTTCTGTATATTAATATTAATATGATATATAAATTTTATTTATTAACCTCTTTCATGAAAGCCACTTTAATTAAGGCCCTTATAGGGTATAAAAAATCTAAATGTTAGGGTGCAACATGGGTCTTGTTTTAGTTGTTAAATGTCTGGATCTCTCACATCAGTTGGATTACAGCTGAGCCTGCTAATTTAAACTTGGTTGTTTCCAATTCCCCATTATTTCAAACTCAAAACCTAGAATCCTGTCCATAAGTTGTTGGGACACCTCCCCTTTTGCGTGCAAAAACCCACGATTTTAACTACATCCTTGACGTTTTAGGAAAAGATGAATAGAAGCAAGTATGATAGACCCCCTCCCCCAGAGCAATGTTGAAAAAAAATGAAGCTATTCTGAGGAGTAGATCGGATGGTGTTAAAATGGAAAAAGGGACAAAAGAAAGTGGTTAGACAGTTGTGTTAGAAGCGAACATGATTGCTGAAAAATCGTTATTATTGGAATAAGACGTGAATATCTATGTTATCATCACTTTAATTGGAGAAGACTGTTCTAGGAGGCAAACAATTCTTGAAACGTGGCTGTTCTGAAGCTATAATTAAGGGTGTTTTTGGTTTTCAAGATTTTTATCAACATTGACGGGGGGGAGGGGGGTAGGCGGGCTTACGTGGTCTTGGTCTTAAGAGAGGCTGCCTGTGATCTTAAGAGAGGGTGCCTGTGAAGTCATCTGCCATAAACTGTCCCAACACTTGTGACCAGGATTACATAGGATTTGCTGTTTCAGTCATTTACTGTTGGCTATTTTGAGCTATTTTTCATTTCCCCTGAGAGTTTGAAATAGTGAAGTTCAATAGTGTTTATTTTTGATAGCTCTGGAAAAACTCAAGAAGGATATTAAAGAAGCTTCCAAGCAGCAGTGTGCCTCTGTAGATGGTTCAACTGAGCAGCCCACAGGTGATTCTTGATCTTTGCACTATTTTTGTTCTGTGTTATGTACCATTACTCAATATTGTTTAAGTTGGGGTGGTGTGCTTCCTTATTGATAGTCGCAGGGGACCTGGGATCATTGTTGTGCCTTAAAGTGTTAAAATGTACTCTCTGGTACCACAGTATTCCCTTAATTCATACATACAAGTGGCATTGCTCTAGTGATCATTTGAATGTGAGCCACATTAACTAAATACTTTTATAAGTGATACCAGAGTCCCAAAAATTGGTTTGCAAAATGTTTTTTGTCATAACTCATTAGCTTAATTCTGGAACCATGATGTTCATAGATTCACATACCAGTTGTAGTAAGCGAAAAAAAAGCTCAAAGAAAATTAGTTATAAATTATTGTTTTTATTTTTTTTAGCCCATCAAGCCTTACATGACCTTCAGCAAATGCACCAAGATGCAGACCAGAGGAAAGTCAAGACATTTGATTTTCATTCCAATCTGAAAATGAATGCTCTTGAAAAGGGCTTCAGGATTTCTGACAACCCAGGACAAGGAGATTGTATGTTTTATGCATTGTCAGAACAGCTGAACTTTGCAAAAGGAATCCAACATTCAGCTGCAGAATTAAGACAAGAAATAGTCCAGTACCTTCAGCAATACCCTAAGCTGGTAAATAAGCTATGCACTTTGAAATGAAATTCACACTACAACGTCAGAAGTATACCTAATGTTATATCATCCTTTTCTTTTGCCTTTTATACCTCTGCCTCTGTGGAGGCAGTGTGGCCGAGTGGTTAGAGTGCCAGATTTGGAATTCGTAGGTCCCGGGTTCAAATCCTGGTCTGACTGCTAGCTGATGCTGTTCTCGGTAGCCCCAAGTTCAACTTCTCAGCTGGGCTTGTAAATAGCCAACTGGTCTGCCTTCCGCCAGTTGGAATTCTTAACCTAGTTATGTTTATTTGAATATTTATTTATTATTGTTTGTTTACATTGGTCCTGAAAAACCCCAATGGGGAGTGGCCAATTAAGTGTATATTTTTTTCCTATGCTCTGTGTGTGTCAAAGTGATTTTACTTTGTGTAGCAGTTGTGTCTTTTTGGGGAGCACAATATACTTGTGGAAGGGTGTGGCATGGGTCAGAGCAAACAGAGGGAAACCTTCTTTCAGTCATGTTCAGTTGTTCAGCCTTCTCCATCTCAAAGTAATTTTTTACTCACACCCCAAGTTGTCCCACACCCCTCAGAAAGGAAGCAACTGCCATGCAGGCTACACTACTGAAAACATTTTTTATTCACAAGTTAATTTTCATAGCATGCTTTTTTTTTACACCATCAAATATTCAGGAGTTCAAAAACAAACAGAACTGCTTAGAGAATAATACATTACCACTCATATGTTATATACGTCAAGTGATAAAGTTCAATTTCTTGATCAAAAGTTCCATTAATGCCATAGTGATCGTCTGGGGATTTGTGACAGCCATCATAAAATCCACCATAGAGTATATACAAGTGAGACTAAAACATTATTAATCAAGTCCAGTGTTGCTTTCTATTTTGTTCTTTTCACAGCCAGATGGAACAGATCTTTTTAACTTCACTCATGGACATCCTTCATGGACTTCCTACTTGGAAAAGATGGCAAAAGATGGCACTTGGGGTGATAATGTGGTTCTTTTGGCTGCAGCAAATCGTTTCAATACTCCCATTCGTGTAATAAGCAGTCTGCCAAGCCATGAAGACATCATCATCAATCCACAATCTCAAGTGTGTCATGGTGCTGGCACACTTGTGCTGGGACATGTTCATGAAGAACACTACGTTAGCCTTCTACCCTTAAGAGGTAAGGCTTAGTAACCAGATCAATATTCGAGATTGGGCTTGGAGGAGTTACTTTGTTATGTTAAGCTTATCTGGTATGTGCCACTGGGCAAGGTATGGTTTTCAAGTCCCTTAGTGTAGAGTAAGATTTATGAATCTCTATTTTGTTCGAGAACAAGGTGTTTTTGGATTCTGAACAAATAGCTATTGGCGATAATCTGACGCAACGTACAAAGTTACATTCTCAAACAGCATCTAGTATCTGTAAATATCTTGCTGCTCAGTTAGTTGGCCAGATAATGGCCAAGAATGGAATATCACTTTACCTCATTCGGTTATTTTTTGTACATGTATCTACTTCTTTGCGATACAATGCGGCGACTAACTAGCACTTTTATGTCGGTTTTAGGAAACCCCCCCGTACTGCAGAGAAATGGACAGCATAGGCTATATGGCCAGCAACTACAAGGATACCAACAACAACAACAACGACAGGGAGACTACCAATCACAGGGTTACCAAAAAATGCAGCTTTACCAGCAACGACTGAGAGACCAAGAACTGCAACAACGAAGGGGATACCAGCAACCACAGGATAACCAGCAACGCCAAGGATACCTGCACCATCCCAGTGTCCAGCAACTACATGAACAGCGACCCCCGTTGCCCAGAGATCTCAGAATTAAAATTAAAGTGTTGGACCTGCCTAAAAGAGTTTACTCCAAAATCTGCTTGAAGCTCAACATCAAGCGTGATATATCTTTCGATGATTTTCGGATGTTGGCCGAAGAGCTTGATATGGACAGAGATAAAACAGCATATGCTGGTCAGCAGATAAATCCAACTGATTTTATTTTCTCGGAATATAACCCAAACGTCACTGTGGGTGAGCTTGTCACAATTCTTGATAAAATTGAGAGGTTTGACGTGGCAGCAGTACTGAAGGATTGGATTCAGCAAGGAAGTACCTAATATCGTGTTCTGGGTAGTGTGTCTGTGTGGTACCAGCTGTGCTGGACTGTACACGACAAGCATTCAAAAAATGGAACGACTGGCTTCAAACAGAAATTTCTTTACAATGGTGCTTTGCTGTCACAAATAGGCAGAACACTAACTGAATAATGCTAATGTGGAAATGTGGAAATATCGCTTGTGTTTGTCTATTGTCTTTATTGTTCACCACTAAATTTTCTTCCGCGCGCCAGTTCAAAAATCATATTGAATTATTTTCAACTTTTGTAGAAGAAAGCCGTGAAAGCCAAATGTAAAATTCAAAAAGGAAAATAAACAAGACTCACTTAACACAATTTCACTTGTTTATTTTTTTTATAAGCTCGCTTGTTTACAGAAAATTTTTCACGGACGAGTGCTATCCATCCGGGTATTTTCCTCGGACGTGCACTATGGGCTGATAGTGTCTCTCCGCAGATGAACACTATCGCGTCACGTGATCAACTTAAACCAATAAGAATTGGAGAAAATTTAGTGGTGAACTATCATCTTGCGTAGTGCCCGCGGGCCGATTACGGGCCCCGCAAAACCAAAGCAAAAAGCCATATAATAAACAACTTATTAACTTTGAACATTCGGTCTTTACGAGAAACGCTATCGCTCGGTCAATACGGCAAGGTCTTGGTTTGCGATTTTCCCGTAAAGACCTCACCCTTGGTTAATAAGTAGTTAGTAATGCAATGAACTGTATTGCTGTCTATATACTGTTAAGATGTGTTTTAAATTTTAGTGGATGTTTCAATTTAGAATGAATTTATTATTACGCACTAGGTGCTTCATAGTAGACAGTTGCTCTTATACTCTAATCACCCTGAAACGATTATAAAATATTTTGTAACTAATCTTAATAAACACAAACACAGCATCAGGGGCGGGCATCTCGTTTATTGATGCCTTCGAGTGGCTCTTGCATAACTTACAAATTCTTAAATAGCCTACTAGCCCCTTAGGGATTCACGCCTAAAATACTTCTACAGTTAACACGAACCATACATAGTGAACATACTCCAGTGTAATTAGCGAAACGTTACAAAATATATTTAGTTGCTCGTTTTCAAAACGTTTGTTTTGCCACCAGCTTGTCAGCAGCTATTTTACGATAACTGCAGAAATTTTCGCGCGCTCATTGGTTAATTTTCATCGTCAGTAAGTGGACAGACACACGAATGTATAATTTATGCGATGCGTCAACGAGCGAGAGCGGACAATTTGACAGTTTGTTATTGTAAAGACAAAAAAACAAATAGACGTCAGTTTTTGATGCGTCTTTCCTGTTATTGACGATGAATTTCTTCATAACATTGTCAAAGTAGTCTGCGGATCCACTCGGCTCCACAGCTACTTTGACAATGTTATGACGAAATCATGATCAATAACACGACAGACCCATGAAAAACTGACGTCAATTCGTTTAATGAACATTCAGTGAAGCAGTGTCAGAGACATTATGTTGCTATCCACCTTCGGTCATCCTAGGGACCACAGGTGAATAGCGAAAAAAAGCGCGGTCTATTTTTTCAAGCCATTACCCCACCAATAAGATTTTCGTGATAACGGTCTTGACGTTTAGAATGCTTAATTTTAGAAAAAAAAGGTATAGATAGAAGTATTAAATTTGATGATAATAAATCCGTTAGCTTGTAAGAAGGGCGGATATCAGGTATTACCTACCATGCGGTAGTTAGGGCTATCGAAGTTTTGAGTCTTGGTCAGTCAAGGTGTATTTTGTCAAGTTCTTTTTATTATTACTTGGAAAATACAAGATGTGATTTCGCTAGAAGACTAAGCCATTGTGAAACCTGTAATGAATACCTCGTGTGAGCGGGTACTTAGTCAGAGTCCTAATAACAAGCAACCACTGTATTTTTAACTTCTCATTAGCTTGTATTGGTTTGCTTTTTTTATTTATCAAGCAGATTACAAACCCTTTTATCAATGAACATGTAACGAGGACCCAGTGCTATAACTACGACCTCACCACCACCGGTAGCTGTTCTCATTTGAATAACGTACATGTTCACGGTCAAAACTGTGAGAATTCAGAAAAGTTAGTTTACCCTTATGATCATCGAAACTGGCTGATTTTTTTTTTTTTAACAATTGACTGCAGTTTTATTTCACTATTTAACAGTCTAAATTGCCAGGTGAAAAATGTTACATAGTTGTAGAGTTGTAGATATTTCAGAATTAAGCTAACATAAATTAAAAGTAATGTGAATTAATATGTGCTTCACTGTGAAATTACTTCTTCTGGTTGGCTGGAAGCAGGCGAATTTATAGTTAATTTTTTAATGCATATTAATACACACACGTTCGTAATTTTCTCAGTCATATAATAAATGAGTAAATGTATTACACTATTTTTAATATTTGAGAATTCTTTCAAACTGCCCTCGCCTAAAAGCCCGTGCAATTTTGTAAATCCCAGCTTACCACGACGAGTAATTTTGTTATTCCCCTACACTTTTCACTGCCACATTACAACTAGCACGTCGTAAAATTATTAATGAAGAAGCCCAAAAACTAGCTCTAATTTTCTTTCCACTTCCACCTGAATAGGCGACAAAAAAAGCGTTTCTCATTTCAAGAACAGCACTCGCCCTAGGCCGCGCGATTGACTTGTTTAAAAAAAATGCTTTATACATAACTAATTAAGTTTGGATCTTGAAATTACACTTGCCCAAAAGTGTCTAAAATGACGTCTATAATTAGCCACAGAATAGACTGGTATTAGGGTTCTGAAAAGCCAGCGGTACACACGCAGCAAAATTAACACAAATACCTCTCCCCAAGTCTGTCAGGTATTCAGCGGTTAATGACATTTGCAGACTGCAAACTGCAGTTACGCCTAAAAAGATGTTAGCCTGAAAAGAGCTTACGTTAACTTGTTTTCAATAACTTCTCGATAAGGGAAATGAGAATACGATATCAGTTAAAAATTACGCAGTCTGCATTCTGCGATCTGCAGTCTGCAAATGTTATGCACCGTACATTTTACTCACTTTCATACTGAATGTTTAATTAGTACACCGAACCCGATAAACATTCATCCACAGAAAAGCCCAAAGAGTTTTTGCAATTGCGCACTGCAACATTCAAACCATGCATTTTCTCCGTCGAAATTCTCTATTGTCCCACTTTCATTCTGCTCATAAATTTAAAGTTGGCGACATAGCACTTTTCTGGTATGCTCAGCCACCAATAATTCGTCAACTTGACAACCATTTCAAAAGAAACATCGGATACTCTGAAGAGTTGAACATCGCTGTAATTGCAACTAAAACTTTCAGTCTAGCTCAAATAAAAAACTTAAAAACAGCACAAAAAATAAATCTCGAATCTAACTTTCCACAACAGCTAATTTTGTTATTCCACTGCATATTTCACTGCCCTTTAAGACCAGTTCGCCATATTGAAACATTGCAACTCAAGGAGCTTGAGTTTTCTTTCCACTTCCGTGCAGATTACTTGACTGTTCTGGGGTTATGAATACTTAATTTAGGTGAGAAAAAACTATTCTACCAGTATAATGGGCAAAAAACAAATGCAAGTCGTGGTATATACCAAGTGACCCAGGCTATGAGATATTGACAGGAGTCTAGCAGGTCAATAAACTTGGTATTCTTTTCTATTCTTTTCTTTTCTTTTCGTTTCTTTCCTTTCCTTTCCTTTTCTTTTCTTTTCATGTCTTTTCTTTTCTGTTCTGTTCTGTTCTGTTCTGTTCTGTTCTGTTCTGTTCTGTTCTGTTCTGTTCTGTTCTGTTCTGTTCTATTCTTTTCGATTCGATTCGATTCGATTCTAATCTATTCGATTTATGTAAGGAAAGCGATTATCAACGGCAACTCACACACGCTCTCTCCGATTTTTTATTCCGGGTAGGGCTGCTGTAACACAAGGTAAGCCCATGCGAGTCGTCACTAGAAGTGTATAATCAAAGGCACTTGGATCATAAAAACAAGCCTTCGATTCTCTTATCGGAGGGATCATTGTCCAGTGCCCTCTCTTTCTCGCCCTCGGCGCATTGTGTCGAGACGGACTGGTGTCCAGAGCACTTAGTATCACAATGCATTGTGGTTATTGAGAAAGCGCGCACATTTTGCAAAATGGCGGACGGACCAAACGAATTTCAACTTGAACAACCACCTACTGATGGGATTTCGTCCGTCAAATTCAGCCCTAAATCAGCTTCCTTTTTGGTGGTGTCATCGTGGGATACCGTAAGCTTCTTTTCACGCTATTTACATTTACTTGTTAATGTACTGATTAACAGTCCTTGTACTGTCCCAGGGACACCCAAGGACCGTTTTCTCTTGAATGCTTTTAAACGCTGTTTTAGGCTATCTGGAGTACTTTTAAAGCTCTGTAGGTTAATTTTAGGTTGCGCTAAAAAAATTTTATCTGTTCGGTTATTCTAGGGGAACTTGAGTATTCTCGAATTTACAAGGGCTTTTTTGTCCATTTCCCGAAAACCTTAGGTCTTATCGCCTTTCCGAAAATGATAGCTGACCTTTTTTCGGTACCCAAAACGACATTTTTAACAATCCGAAAACAGCAGACATTAAATTTCTCATATCACGAAAGTTCGAGGTGATAATTCTCTTAAGAAAATCAGAGGGGATTAAAGGCCTTCCGAACAGATCATTTACTGAAACGATCCGTTGGGTACTCCTGCTGAACGCGAGCTTACATGTTTTTGATTCATTCATCCTCAATTTTTTTAAGCTTATGTTTTACCAATCTTTTAACAGTCAGTCAGGCTCTATGATGTCCAGAACAACAACATGCGTCTTAAGTATAACCATTCTTATGCAGTGCTAGACTGCTGCTTCCAAGATGGTGTGCATACATTCAGTGGAGGACTTGACAATACCTTAAAAGTGTAAGTTCAAGTGGTTTGATATAGTCAAAAACGCGTCTGTAACTACGATGTTTCCTCTAAACTTGGCACCAGAAAAATAATTATTACCGGACATTTCTATTGATTACTGTTCCGGTGATGTGGTAAGATGAAACTACTAAATGTCTTTTAAATTAAATAATATCTTAATGTTTACAGGTAATTTGCCTGAAGAATCGTAAGACTGATTCTGGTTTTCCTTGCAAACTTCCACATTCTCAAGGTGCAAAGAAAAACAATTTTCAGGCTTGCTCTTTGGGCAAGCTGTATCCATGATGTACTAGCCTGAAAGACATTCTGACTAGACTCAAAAAAATTCCTCTCTTACAGTACTTCTGTAATGTGTTGTTCCAGAAAATATCCATACCCTTCCCATGGAAGGTTTTTTGGTTAGAAGCCTCCCACTCCTCCAGAAATTCCAGTTTGGCTTCATAATTTCGTTTAAAAATTTTCACGTTTGAAACCCCCCCCCCCCCCCCCCCCCCCTCCCTTGGGGTGGGTATGGATATTTTCTGAAAATGCACAATTTGAATTTCCCAAACATTTTCCCAAGAAACTTCACTTGCCTGTCAAGCAAGTGATGGACAGAATCCACTAACCTAACTTCAAATTCTTTTAGCTTTAGCTCTGGGTTATCGGACATGACTTTCTTTGCATGCTGTTTCTAGATAATTTCTGTGAAATAATACATGTCTGATTTAACAAAGGATGTCAGCAAAACAAATGAAACATCTGTAGAAGGAAATATTTCGTTACCCAGGTAAATCACCAGTGTTTTGGAGCTGAATCATGATCTAAGTTGCACTTTGCCCTATTTGTGTAGTGTGGACCTCAATACTTCAGCTGAGCAAGTTGTAGGGATGCACGATGAAGCAATCAAATGTGTGGAATACTGTCCCCAATCTGGTAGGATTTTTTGCTGATGCATGTAATAAGAGTAATTAGGAAACAGCCCTAAGAAAATATGTGTGCTGATTGGTTTAAAATCGTGTTTCTATAACTCGAAAGAAACACAGAACTAGCACGAGTTGTCAACGTAATGATGGCGCGAGCAAAGAGAAGTTACAGTTTGATAATCAAAGTTAACAAGCTGATTTCCTTTTTTCCATCACTCTGTTTTCTAAAAGAAATAGAAAACATGTACTCCGTGTTTCTATCGGGTTATAGCTGTAGAAACACGGGCCTATGGCTCATGTTCCCACAGAATTTCCCGTTCTCCCAAACTTCCACTCATGTTTCTATAACTCAATAGAAACACGGAACATGTCTTCCATTTCTTAAGTAGAAGCTTATATATTATCTATGTCATTCAGTTAATTAGGGATCTGTGTACAGCAATTGAAAACATGAAAGTTAATCATTTTAACGGAACGTGTCACAATTCGCTGCAGTATGTTGAAAAAACTCTGTCATGTCTCCAATAATAAAGAGTCATCTTCTCTTGAGTTATTTTCCAATTTATAGATCTCTGGTGTTTGTATTGAGTATATCTAATCCAGACCATCAACAAGAATAAAGTAAAGTGACTGTTAAAAGTCAATGACATTATTTTATTTGGACATTTATTTAACATCTTACAGTTATAACCTGGTAAAACACAGTTACTAATTCCAAAAATCACCATTCCAATAAGCAAGGTTGCAAAAATTTAATGATACTGTTTTAACATTTTAATGATATCTCTAGGATTAGTTGTGACTGGCAGCTGGGATAAATTCATCAAACTTTGGGATCCAAGAACAAATCAGTGCACTGGAAAATATGAGCAGCCTGAAAAGGTCTTAAATTTTAAGTTATCCTTACACTTCAGAATCATTTAACTTTCTCAAGACACATATTGATGTCAATATAAACATGAATCAATACTTGCTGTCTTTTTAGAAATACACATTTTATGCCATAAAACTAGAATGTCTGTTTATCATAGTATTGATTATAAATGTAAGTGTTTGGATTCTATGCATGCTGTAATTGGATTAACCTCCATGGTTTATCAAAGAATATAAAACAAAAAACAGTTTTATTGATTTGTTGTGGGTTCATGTACGTCTTACGTCCTTCTTAGTTCATTAATCACCTCTTGTAGTGTGGTTATGTTTCCCATAAGCTTATGCATGTCTGTTAATTGTTTTAGGTGTACACAATGGCATCATCCGATGAGCGTCTTGTCGTTGGCACAGTAAGGATTTGGTTTATATGACAATTTTGCGTTATACATGTAATTGATTTTATTATTTTATATTGTGTAGGTCCAGAAAATATCCATACCTCCCCCACAGAAGGGAATTTTTCTAAGTCCCCCCACCCCTCTGGAAATTCCAATTGAGCTTCATACATTTCTTTAAATTTTTGGGTCTTCCAGAACCCCCCACCCCCCAGGAAATTCCAATCCCTTCTGTGGGGGAAGTGTGGATATTTTCTGGAACTGAGCATTTGATTATTAAATACTATGTGTACATCATCTTTGATAAGAGCCTAGCAGATGTTTCAATCTACTCTTAACTTACACAGGGGCAGACTTGAGAGGTTCATTAACATTTACTGATGTTAATGTAGGTTTTATCTTGAAATGTTGTATTGCAGGCAGGACGGCGTGTGATGGTTTGGGACCTTAGGAATATGGTAAGAGCTAAAATATAATATTGCTTTTTGTCTGACTGGACGGCAATGAAACTGAAAACACTTTGCTTCTTAAAGAAAAGGAAAAATACTTTACCTGAACTACAAAATGATGATAGGTTTCACGGTGTGTTTAGTATGTTGTACAGATAAGTGCAGTAAGGTCCTCACAAAAATATTCCCCAGCACAGCTCAAGCAAGCTAAGTTAGCAAGTCGTTTAAACCCTTAATAGATTGCATTTGCATTCATACTGTTTCCTAATATTTTATTATTGGTGCACAATTGTTTACAGCAATATGTACAACAAAGAAGAGAATCTAGTTTAAAATACCAAACAAGATGTATCCGTACATTCCCAAATAAACAAGGTAAGGGAAGAGCTCATTTCCACTCTGCAGCATATAATTTGATTCAAACAAGAAATTGTTTTTTAAGCAATAGACCACAAGTTTTTATGGTTTATAGGCTGATAAACCATGTGGGATGTTGGAAGAACATGAGGAGAATTCATGAATCATGAGCCGTAGGTGAGTGATTTACGAATTCTTCGAGTGTTCTTCCAACATCCCAAGTGGTTTTTCATGCCTCTAACCCATAAAAACCTGTGGCCTATTGCTTTTATATAATAATTCAGAAGACATGCAAAATTTCCATGAGTTTACTGGCGCAATAAACCATAGCTGACAGACCAATCAGAGTGCGCACATTCATTAAATTATTATATAAATACCTATACTCCGTGGATGAATGCCATAAGTGCACCAAGTCATACATCAACAGTTCTTGAACCAAATTTACTTAATTCCTCAATCAATCCAACCATCCATTATTTGTTTAGACATGTAACACCTATGAGCTGAAAGCCTGCTCAAAATACATATGAGCTAACTAAAGATAATCTTTATCAAGCTAGTGAAGTAAATCAAGCAAGAAAAAAGGTAAATTTAGTTCAACAACAAGTGATTACTGCTTATGCTTCCTATGGCATTGACCCATAGAGTATTTTTATATATACTGAGATTTGTCTTCTTCCAGGTAAAAGTTTCCCATGAAAGGAAATATTTATTTATTCCTCCTGGGTAAAAGTTTCTCTCAAAAAGAAGCCTGACAGTTTCTCAGACACACATGCTGACCATTGTATTATGAACTCATTGTATGTGTTCTTGCTGTCACTACACAGGTTATGTTTTAAGCTCTATTGAGGGCAGAGTAGCTGTGGAATATTTTGACCCAAGCCCTGAAGTGCAGAAGAGGAAATATGCCTTTAAGTGTCATCGTATAAAAGAAGAAGGAATGGAAAATATATACCCTGTCAATGCAATATCCTTCCATAATGTGTGAGTGAAAGTATTTTTTACTGTTGATATAGCAGTTTATTATATGGCAGGATAGTATTGAGGTAAATGTGAGTGTTCTGATTGGTTCTTTCTTGGCCAGGATTTTGCCATATTGACCATTCCATGGAAATGGTCATAAGCTGCTGGTCTTACTGCTATTGTGCCATTGCCATATTTTCTACAAACTCCCTGATATTTCATAGTCAATAGCATTTTCAAGTGACAAGCCACAGAAGTTGAAGCTGATAGATATGAAGATGCATATGATCAATCAGTCATAACCATATTAGGTAATAAGTAGAAATTGTAGTAATATCATTTCTATACAATTTAAACGATGCTTCATCTAAAAGAATTGAATGTTTACCTGCAAACAATTTCAGACACAACACATTTGCCACTGGTGGTTCAGATGGTTTTGTGAACATCTGGGATGGCTTCAACAAAAAGCGGCTTTGCCAGGTACAAGATACACTAATATGTATTTTTAGCACGTTTTTTTTCCTCCTCTTAAGTAAACACACATCCTTTGTGATAATTCAGCATCATATGTGTAGAGCCAAAGAACTGGAGTGTGCATTACACAGGGCAGCATCCTTAGAATGGAAGTAATCAATGTATTTCAAGCGTATTTGATCAAGACAAAATATTATTTCTGGAAACCAAATGAACTGCCTTGCCTAGGAACACAGCATGTTGACCCTAACCAGGGCTCAAACCTGCTTGTTCTGGAATCCAGTACACTCACCATCAGGCTGCTGCAACTCCTAGGTAGGCTAAGGTAAAAGTAATTACTGAATTGTTGTAAAGGCCAGAGAGCAGCTAAGCAGTTTTTCCCACTCTTATTCTACCCTTTCAAAGCTGACTTGTAGGGTTAAAAATTCAGTATAGTCAAAT